AAAAAAAAAAAAAAAAAAAAAAAAAAAAAAAAGGGCTGGTGAGATGGCTCAGTGGTTAAGAGCACTGACTGCTCTTCCAGAGGTCATGAGTTCAAATCCCAGCAACCACATGGTGGCTCACAACCATCTGCAATGAGATCTGATGCCCTCTTGTGGGGTGTCTGAAGACAGCTACAGTGTACTTATAATAAATAAATAAAGTTTAAAAAAAAAAATCCTTTAAAAAAAAAAAAAAAAAAAAAAAAAGAGGAATTACTGTCAGGTGTGGTAGTGCACACCTGTGAGTCCAGCACTCCAGAAGTAGAGGCCAGAGGATTGCCCTCACATTCCAGGCCATCCAAGCTATATAGACTCTATCTCAAAAACAAATAAATAGAGTTGGTTTTACAGACATGTACCACTTTGTGTTTCAGAAACAAGCCCAGAAATGGGAACCCACAAATTTAAAAACTTAAATTTAAAACTTTTAAACAATCTAATTGTTTTAAGTAAGCTGTCAGGGAATCCATTTTGGCAGTGTGAATCCTAAGTGCAGATGACGTGTTTCTAGTGACTGTGTGGCAGCTGCAGATGGGGGCCAGAGTCTTACATGTGCAGGGACCCTGCCACTAAGCTCCAGTCCCAGCATTTCTGTTTTTCATTGTTATTTTGAGACAGATTTCATGAAGTTGCCCAGGCTGGCCTTGAACTCACTCAGTAACCCAGGCTGGCCTTGAAGTTTTGATCTCTCTGCCTCAGCCTCCTGAATACTGAGATTCCAGGCACGCAGCACCATACCCAGCAGTTGTTTTTATTTTAAGGGATGGAGGTGACAGAAGCAACCACACAGGGCTACAATGCACCCCCCTTCTTCCTTTCTGTTTTTCTTAAAGTCAGTATCCTCCAGTTTCAGCATCGACAATCCAGAAGCACTGGAATTACACATGTCCATCACCATGCCCAGACAGTGTGTCCTCTGGGCTGGGGATGTAGCTCAGCACAGCATTTGCCTAGCGTGTTCCTTGTTTTGGTTCCCAACTCTAGCACCAAGAAAGAAGAAAAGAAAAGAAAAGCCTTGTTGTATATAGCATGCCTGTAAGCCCAGCTATTTGGAAGGTTGGGGCAGGAAGGTTCATCGAGGTGTTCAAAGTCAGTTTGGGCAACATAGTGAGACCTCATCTGAAAAAAAAATAAGTGTCACTTAACTGAGTGTTTTTGTTTGTTTATTTGAGACAGGAGACAAGAGTTCACTGTGTATCTCACAATGGCCTTGAACTCACCTTGTAGCTGAGGGTAGCCAGACAGTTCAGCAATCCTCCTGCTCTGAGCTCCCAAGAGCTGGGATTACAGATGTAACCTCCACATGAGAGGTATTACAAGTGTAAAATACATTGCATTCTAAAATACAGGTGCTCCAGGGACACACCTTCTGCCTCCTTACTGGTGCTCACAGCAGACTCCCCTCACAAGCTTTCCCAGCTCTCCACAGCCTTGAGATTGTGGGAGCTACAGAACCCCCTGAGCTTTGTCACAAAGACTGTCCTGCCCCTGATACACACCACTCCTCTGAATCCTGGCCCCTCTTATGAGAAATAGTAAGACAGCCTCCCAAATCTTGGACTGACTCTTCACCCCCCCTCCCCAAGCCTGGCCATTCCAGGCTGCAGTATAAGTGGAAGACTCACCGAGATAGACCCTGGCTGAGTCAACGATGCACAAGGCTCACATCCTAGGGATGGGAGGGGAGGGGCACCTGAGGCCCCCACAAGGTCAGCCACCTGCCACCCGCATCCCTTGCCACCCACTCCATCCAACGCCCTGGACTCTAGGCTCACCCCAGGGCGGAGTTCCACCCTCCTTCTTGCCCTTTGCCAGCGAAGGCCCCAGGCGGCTGCCAGCAGCAGCAGTATGAGAGGCAGCAGCAGCAGGAGCAGCAGCTGCCTAGATGGAGGCTCTGGAAGCTTGGTGGCTTCTAGGGCTACAGGACTCCTTGGGGGCAGCAGGGTGGAGGAGTCTGGGGAGAGAAGAACCAGGTAACTGAGGGAGCTCATCAAAGCAAACCCGGGAAGTCCTGGAGAACTATGGGTGGTGGATGGTTAATGAGACACCTACAAACAACAAAACCAAAACCTGGGGGCATAAGGTAGGCCATGGCTTTAACAATCTATCACTCAGGAGGCAGAAGCAGACAGAGCTCTGTGAATTTGAGGCTAGCACGGTCTACATAGTAAGTTCTAGGACTGACAGGGATGTATTGTGAAACACTGTCTCAAAAACAAACCAACACTGGGGATAAAAAGTATGAGCATGGCTGGGCATCGTGGTCCACACCTTCAATCCCTGAACTCAAAAGTCCAAATCAGGGAGATCTCAGCCTGGTTGGCATAGCAAGCTATAGGCAGCCAGAGCTATATAGACAGACCCTGTCTCAAAACAACAATAACAATAACACAGAAAAAGAAAAAAAAGTTAACCCTGTCTCAAAAAAACCAAAAAAAAAAAAAAAAAGTTACTGTGCTCACTCAGTTTCCATTCCCTGTGGACAGGACTGCCCTAGACAAATGGACTGGAGATTCTGTCTCCTTCTCAAAGATAGGTAAACTGAGGTCATAAGAAGAAATGACCCATCCTTTTCTGAACATCTATGGCAATAGATGGTTGCTAGACAGGAAGAAACATTTTCTTCAGAAGTGTAGCCATTGGTAAGGTGCCTCCTACAGGCAACCTACCTAACTGGCTTAAAATAGAAAAGAAAGAAGAGGGACCACTGGGAAAGAGGAAGAGGATCAGTGAGACAGGGAGACGGACTGGAGAAAGTATGGTGTGATGAAAATGTAGACACAGATGAAATGTCATGAGACATTGTTACACATAATATATGATGATGAAAACATGAAGAAAGGAAAGGAAAGGAAGCCAGATGTGCTGGCTTCATACCTGTAATCCCAGCACTCAGGACACTGAGGCAGGAGGATTGTTTTGAGTTCAAGGTCAGCCTAGCCTGCATAATGAGACCCTATCTCAAAAGAAAAGAAAAAGAGTTGAAATGGTGGCTCAGCAGATAAGAACACTGGCTGCTCTTGCGTTGGACCTGGGTCCCAGCACCCATGGGGTGGTTCACAAGTAGCTGCAATTCCAGTTCCAGGGAATCTGATGCCCTCTTCTGGCCGCTTCAGGCACCAGACACACATTCAGTGCACTTACAGGCATATAGGTAAACACTAACACATATAAATAAATAAACCTTAAAAAAGAAGAAAGAAAAAAAAAGAGGAAAAAAAAAAAGAAAGAAGCCGGCAGTGGTGATGCATGCCTTTAATCCCAGCACTTGGGAGGCAGAGGCAGGTGGATTTCTGAGTTCGAGGCCAGCCTGGTCTACAGAGTGAGTTCCAGGACAGCCAGGGCTACACAGAGAAACCCTGTCTCGAAAAACCAAACCAAACCAAACCAAAACAAAACAAACAAAAAAAAAAACCCCAAAAAAAACAAAAGAAGAAGGAGGAGGAGGAGGAGAGGAAGAGGAAGAAAGAAAAGAGAAAAAGTAAGGGAGAAAGAACTTGTCTGAAGTCCCAGCTAGCAGGAGCCTCTGGGACACACAGTAAGCAAGGCTATGGGCTGGAGCTGGTGGCACTGTGGGTGCTGGGCTCTGGGGCTGTTACCCGGCTGGCACTGCACCTCCAGGCACCGAGAGAAATTCTGGCAGGCCTTCCCGATACAGGGCTTCAGAGTGAACAGCTGTGTGCAGGTGTCCTGCAGGAGGTGGGAGATGTTGGTCTGGACGAATCGAAGACATTCTGGTAGGGGCTGGGAGCAGGGAGGGACAGGTCATCACCATGTCACACCAGTGTCTCCACCAACCCAGGGCCCTGACCTGTAGAGGTCACAGAGCCAATGGGCCCAGGTCTCAAAAACTCCAGAGTTCTCCAGTTGTTAGGGGAGAGAGAACACCTTAGTAACAACCTTCTTCAGCTATTAAGGCACAGACCTAGTAACAGGATCCCCAGGTGACCTCAGGGCTTGGAAGTTCAGCTCTACCTCTGTGGTATGCTGTGGGAAAATGAACTCTCCCTAAAGACCTAGCAGGGCTGTCCTTCAAGGCCTAGGGAGAGACTTAGCTCTCTTCATTTGTTACCAAGTTCTAATGCTAACCTGGAAGGTACACCAGGTGACAAAATGTATCTCCGTATTGACACCCTCCAGAAGCTTTTGCATTTTAGACCCTGCCACAGTCTTCAGTTGCTCTATCCAGCGATGGGCCAGGAAGAGGCTCCACAAGGCCTTGCAGTGTTTCTCCTGCAGAACAAGAGCCCAGGCCAGAGCTTAGGGAGAAGGGGCGGGGCCAGATGACTAACAGGGGGTGGGCCTGGCCAGAAGGCAGAGGGAAGGAGGGCGAGTCCAGTGATGGCTTAGTGATGGGGCTAGGTGGCTGAAGAGAATGGGCGCGGCCAGACGCTGAGATAAGTTGGGGGGGGGGCAGGGGACTGAAAGAGATGAGGCCTCGCTAGAGGCTAGAAAGGGTAAGAAGAGTGGGTTTGTCACTTGTGTGATGGAGGTGGGTCAGAATCAAACGCCTGAGACGAGACCTGGCTAGACACCAAGGGAGAGAAGGGGTAGGGCTACACGTCTGAAGACCCCGAGCGGAGGGGCGGGGCCAGATGCCCGAGAGGGAGGGACTTACTACACCCAAGGGAAAAAGGAGCAGAGAGGGCACTCTTGAGAAGTTGATGGGAGAGTGAGCTCGATACCTGGGTCTGGGTCTGGGATGGGGTGGGTGTGGGTGGGGAGAAGGTCTAGATTTCCAGGAGGTGGCCCACTAGCCTTGCCCTGAAGGGTGGCGCATCTTAAGTCTGGTTCCCACCTCCATCCCAGGCCCTCCCGACTGTGACTCACGTCCTGAAGGTTGACGGCCACAGTGACTGGGTAATCTTTAAGCAGGTAGTCAGTCTACGGGAGAAAACAAGGCGAGGCCTGACGGAAAGCAAGAGCAAATTATAGAGTCGGAGAAGCTGGAAACAGACCCTGAGACAAGGGGACAAGGACAGAAAAGGGACAGGACTCACATAAAGAAGAGGACCAGAGAGAGAGAGATGGGGGGGCAGGACACCAAGAGACAGTAGCAAAGAGCCTCACAGAGAGGCAGAGACCCACCGAGAGAGAGGCATCCAGAGAGAGGGACAGAGAGGAACATGTACCCAGAGTGGAGGCCAGAAATCGAGAGACCTAGAGAGAAACAGAGACAGTAGAACAGGGACTCAGAAAGAGAGTCTGAGACAGAGAAAGATTGGGTAGAGACCCAGAGAAGGGGTGGGGGCAGAGATCCAAAGAGAGAAGGACAGAGTCCTCACAGAGATAGAGACACTGTGAGAGACAGTAGCAGAGATGCGGGTAAGGATCCAGCACGGTAGCCTGGCCTGGATAGGAGCCCGCTCACCAACTCGTTAATCCTCGTGTGGAAGTTGGATGAGATGGGACTGTGGCTGAAGTAACAGTCAGGTGTTCCCCGCAGGCAAGGGCTCAGCAGCAGCAAGAGCAGCAACAGGGAGGACTACAGGGAGAGCGTGTCAGCAACTGACTTCCACGCAGAGGCTCCCTGTATCCTGCTTCCTTCACTAACTGGGTGTCATCTTCCCTGTCTCTACCTGTCCTGCACCTTGGCTGGTGTGACAAACCTGACCATCTTTCTCCACCTCATCCTACACCGTCCTCTTTTTTCTTCCAATCCTGTCCCGTGTCTCCCCATGCTTCCATCCCCTGCCCATTCCCTTCTCCACCCAGCTCCATCACCCCTCAGGTATACGCACATTTGGGCTCCAGGCTGGCGCCAGCACTGTCATCTCTGCCGGGGACCCCTCATCCCTGTGGCAGGGTCTTGGAAGTGACAGAAGGACAGGCCTCGGACTCATACCCTGCAGCCCCTTCCCCACCCGTCCCTGTACCCCGCCGCCCCGCCCTGCCGCCCTTGATGTGGGTGCGTTTCCGCCTCTTGCTCCCCCAGGCTTCCTGCATGAGCCCCAGTGACGGTGAAAAGTCATCTCCACTTCTAAGAACCCCGACCGACGTCCCCAGAATCCTCCCCAGGTCTCTAACCCTGCTCCCTCTGTCCGAGAATGGGGACCTTGGGACCGCCCCTTGGGGACCTCGAAAGCCATTCACCCCACGCACCAGGCTTGCCCCAGCTGGGTGTGGAAAGACCGAGCTGGGTGACAGCCAAAGACCGAAAGTGAAAGGAATCTTTGGGGTAGACAGTGCCAGGGGTGAGTTCGTGCCCGGGCGGGACACGCCACCTAGTGGTAACAAGTGGCGCGGCCGTAGACCTCAGCTTGGTCTCTGAAGGAACAGCAAAGGGATGCAACTAGGCTTTCCAGCTTCGAAGTGTATGTAGAACCCAAAGTGTCAGTCACCTCAGCTGCCATTATATAGGCTTTGCCGCCACCATAATCATTGTGGCTTTCTTTCTGATTTTCCTACTTCCTAGCCCCCATATGCTGCCTGGGGAAGAACCTGTGAACCTCCAGCCTCCGGGTTCCCGATTCATTTGGGACAAAAGCACCGCCTTTTTTTTAGCAGGGACTGGTATTACGGACCTGTCACCCCAGTTACCAAGGAGCTTGAGGCAAGAAGAATGAGGGTTGGAGGCTGGCCTTGTTTCAAGGCTGGCCTGACCAATTTACTAAGATCCTGTCTCAAAAAGTAAAAAGGACAGACAGGTGCATAGCTCAGTTGGAGAGCAGCTGCCTAGAGCCCACCAGTGAGTCAGTGGCAAAGAACTAGCATGGTTGAGGCCCTGGACTCAACCCATAGTCTGCCTCACCCCTCCACAAAAGGTGGCCACATAGTGCAGTACTGGACTCTGTGCTATCCTCACCCCTCCCTGCTAACCTCACGCTATCTACGCTCCTTTCCAACACTAGCTATCTGTGGTGGGCAGTCTCTCAGCCAGGGGCCTTTTCACTAGGTGTTTGCTCAACATGGACTACCTCCCTCTAGATTCCTGTGTTCTCCCGTCTCACCCAAGCCGTTCCTTAAAGACACAGGCAGAGGCTTCGTGATACCCTTCCCCACGTTGCACTCCTTCCAGCACCAGACTCACCCTGCTTTGTCCTTATCACCATTTAACACACCCCGTGGTTTCCTTATCTTCCCCATTGTCTTGGCTTCTTTATTGGCTGTTTCCACCCTGCAAAGTCAGTGCACCCAGGACTATGACTGGCCTAAGCAGCAGCCACATAAGAGTTTATTCTATGAATGTACTGGCAGGTCCCAACCTCTTCCCAGCTCATCGCTGTGGTGTAGCTCAGGATGTGTCTGGGTTTTGGTTTTGGTTCCTAGGAGATAAATCCTTGGGATTTTCCAAGTATGGGAAATTGTTTATCAGGGCTGGTACCTGGACTGCACCTGAGTTCACAGAGGCAATTCAGAAAGGACCTGGTTGTGCCTGAAAGACAGAGAATGAAGACTATGGAACATTGGCAGCAGGTGGACCAGGAGTTCAAGGTTAGCCCTGGCTACATATAAGACCCCGTGTCATATAGTAGGCACAATGTGGTGATGCTACCTTTAATAATGCAGAGGCAGATGGATCTTCTCTGTGAGTCCAAGGTTGCTTGTTCTTGGATTTAGGGTCAACTTAGATAATGTATGGAGATCTCATCTCAAGATCCTGGGTCTGCAGATACCACAGTGCTTGGCTAATATGCACAAAACCCTGGATTCAGTCTCCAGCGTGGCAGAAACCAGACTAGGCAGAGCACACCTATAATCCTGGCAAAGCCATCCTTGACTATGCGATTGAAGACAGCCTGGATCACATTAGACTTTGTCTTCCAAAACAATCAATCCTCAGCTCCGACCTGCACATCCATGTGCCTCTGTGCTCTGTACTCCACCTCTGTTGCAGATTGTGGGGTGCGCAAGCCACGGTTAGCTCATTGAGCTGCTCTTTATAGCACTTCAGGGAACCTGTCATAACCAGTCAACATGTGTTACACTATTGCTGGCGTTGTCACTGTGAGAACCAGCCCTTTGACCTCTATAAGCTGAAGATTTTTCTTTTTTTGTTTTTTTTTTTGTTTTTTGTTTTGTTTGTTTTTTTTTTTTTGAGACAGGGTTTCTCTGTGTAGCCCTGGCTGTCCTGAACTCACTCTGTAGACCAGGCTAGCCTCGAACTCAGAAATCCGCCTGTCTCTGCCTCCCAAGTGCTGGGATTAAAGGCGTGCGCCACCACTGCCCAGCTAAGCTGAAGATTTTTCTACCCTAAACTGGGCGATGAGTTAGTAAACTGGACAAAAATACAAGGTATCTTCTTTTCGTGCAGTTCTGGAAACTGAACAGGGCACTTGCCACATGATAGGCAGATACTCTGATGTCGAGCGATGTCTCAGGTTCTCACAGTGGCATTCCAGGCGGGGCTCTACGGTCTGTGTAGTTCCTTGGTCCATCTAAGCCTTTCCTGCTCTGGAAACTCTGGCATGCTTGCTTGTTTTGCTTTGGCCAATTACTTGATAGTGGAAATTGAAGGCTACTGCTGGGTGAAGGCCCGGGCTTGGGAATGGGTGTGGGGAAAGTGGGCCTGTGTTGTGTTGACTGTATCTTAATTTTTTCACATGTGGAAACTTATTTCCCTTGTGTTTGTTCACATTGCTGGAAACTCTGGATGGAGCTTTAATGGGGTCATACATCAATCAGGCCTGGTATCTCAGCACTTGAAGGCTGGGGCAGGAAAATCACAGTAAGTTCTGGAACAGCTTGGAATGGTGAGTTCCAATTCAGCCAGGCTTAGTCAAACTATCTCTCTTTTTGAGAGTCTTACTAAGTACACTAAGGAGTCCTGGCATGGAACAAGATATATGAACAAGACTGCCCTCAAACTAAGGAGGCTCACCTGCCCTGCCTCTGGGATTAAAGGTGCGTGCTACCAGACCCAGCAAGCTTCTGTCTCAAAAACTTGAAAACGTGGGACTGGAAAGATGATTGAGGCCGGGGGGGGGGGGGGGGGGGGGTGGTGGCGCACGCCTTTAATCCCAGCACTTGGGAGGCAGAGGCAGGCGGATTTCTGAGTTCGAGGCCAGCCTGGTCTACTGAGTGAGTTCCAGGACAGCCAGGGCTTCCCAGAGAAACTCTGTCTCGAAAAACCAAAAAAAAAAAAAAAAAAAAAAAAAGGAAAGATGATTGAGATTTAAAAAGTATATACTATTGCACAGGACCTGATTCAGTTCCTAGCACCCGTAGTGGGTGCAGCTCCACGGCATTCAGTACTCTCTTCTGAGCATGTCCCATTTACATCATTAAAATAACAACACGGGACTAGAGTCATGGCTCAGCGGTTAAGAGCACTGGTTATTCTTCCAAAGGGCCCTAGTTCAATTCCCACAGCACTCACAAGGCAGGTCACAACTGTCTGTAACTCTTGGGTTTCTGACATTCTTATACATAAATAAAAATGGATTACTAAAAGAAAAAAAGAAAAAGAAAAAACATATTATGCTGGCTAGTCCCCCATAGTCCCCTTCCTTGAGACAGTTTCTCTGTTCAACCTTGGCTATCTTGTAACTTGATCTGTAGACCAGTCTGGCCTTAACTCAGAGATTCTGCCACCACTGCCCTGGCTATGCTGACACAAGCTATAGTCACAAACTATAGGGAAACTCTATTGCCAAATGGCCTCCGTAAGATGGGCTGCAGGCAAGTCTGTAGGGCATTTTCTTAGTGACATGAGGAGGTTACATCCACGGTGAATGGTGTTACCCCTGGGCTGGGGTCATGGGTGCTATAAGAAAGCAGGCTGAGCAAGCCACAAAGTAGCACTGCTCCATGGTCCCTGCTTTCAGGTTCCTGGTAGGTTTGAGTTCCTACCTTGGCTTTCCTCAGTGGACGGTGACTTGGAGTGTGTGCTAAATAAACCCTCCCTCCCTCCCCGAGTCGCTTCCTGTCATAGTGCTTCATCACAGCAGCAGCCCTAACACACCAGCGTAGAGTCAGGCTCACTGGGGAGAGGCTTGGTTGGCTCTAAAAAGCCGTCATGCCATTATCATGCCAAGAAGGCCTCACAGATGCCATCCAGATGGGGCCCTCCCAGTTTCAACAGCCTTGTGCTGCAGCCTTCATTCTTGGCAAGTGACAGTCTGTGATAATCAGTTACAGCTCAGAAGACAGACTAAGTTCAAGCCGGGCAGTGGTGGTGCACGCCTTTAATCCCAGCACTTGGGAGGCAGAGACAGGCAGATTTCTGAGTTCGAGGCCAGCCTGGTCTAAAGAGTGAGTTCCAGGACAGCCAGGGCTACAGAGAGAAACCTAGTCTAGAAAAAAAACAAAAAACAAAAGAATAAGTTCAAGCCTGTCATCCCAGGGGTGGGAGGATCAGGAATACAAGGTCATGTTTGGTGCTGTAGCCATAGGAAGTTCTAGTCCAATCAGGGAGACACACACACACACACACACACACACACACACACACACACACAGACACACACACAGACACACACACACACTGTGGTTCTCAAAACCAAACTAAGCAAACAAAACCAATCTTCAACAAACAGAACACCAAGCCATAACACACAAGAAAAGAAAATGGACTAAAACAGCCTCCATCAGCCCAGTTCCCTGATGAACAAGACCGAGAGAAAGAGAGGAAGGAGGGAGGGCCTTGACAATATGCAGTGAGTCAACCAGTTGGCTGTAGCCCACAGATCCCAGATACTGCGGAAGTCTAGGCCATTCTGACAGCTCTTCTAGGACTTCTCTTGCCTGTGGCCTTTATGTCCAGCCTGGGTGAACAAACACTCTTGTGACCTCACATGGTAAAAAGGACTTGGCAGAGAAGATTAAGGAAGAGCACAGGGTGGACGTGTCCATGCATATATAATCCCAGGTGGATCACAAGAATTCCAGATCAGGGGTGAGATGGCTCAGCTGAAAAAATAGGTTATGACTACCAAGCATAAACACCGGAGTTGATCCCATGAACCAACATGGTAAAGGAGAGAACTGACAACCTTGTTTTCTGACTTTTGTGCATACCCACATACATACACACCAAAAAACCCAAAACAAAAAACAAACAAGCAAAAAACAAAAACAAAACTCCATTGACACTTTTTTTTTTGTTTTTGTTTTGGTTTTTTTTTGAGACAGTGCTTCCCTGTGTCCCTGGCTGTCCTAGAACTTGCTCTATAGATAAGGCTGGCCTCAAACTCAGAGATCCACCTGATTCTGCC